AGACGCTGAGGTTTTTAAATAAGGGAATTTTAAGCAGCTGCAAGATCCATGCAGGTTCTAAGGTAGAATTCTAGGTATGACTCTAATGTCTGCTCAACAGCTGCCAAGACTGCAATTAAGAGTGAATTACAGGGCTGAGGAGATGGCTCACTGGGTGGGATGTTTGCTGTGCATGCACAAGCCCTGAGTTTAGGGGCTCAGCACCCGTGTAAAAGCGGGGCACAGCAGCGCACACCAGTAATCTCAAAGCTGGTAGTCAGAGACAGGAGGCTCCCAGAAGCTGGCCCCGCCAGCGGTCTAGCTGACTGGTGAGCTCCATCCATGTTCAGTGAGAGACCCTGCCTCAAAAGACAAGAGAGAGAGCAATGAAGAAGACATCCATCACTGATTGATGTTGACCCTGGACTGGTTACATGGATACACGGGCACATACACCCTCACATATGAATAAACCACACAGACATCTACATACCTGAGTTAAATCTTAACAGACTATCTCTTTACACTTGACACCCAAGAACGAAACAGTGGGAAGGAAGACAAGGTGACCAGGCATGGGAGCTTAGCTAATACCACCTCCATTATTTTCCACTGTGTATCTTCCCGGCTGTGCTTTCCACGCCCCGCTGTACTGTGGGCTAGACCTTCTGTATCTCTATCCATCAAAGCCAGAGATGCACCATTTGCCAAGTCTTTTGTAAGTTCCTCCTCACTTCCCAGATTTCCACATGACGAAGTCCTCATTTACTATGAAAACATCTTATTTACAATGCTTTATTTCCTGTGTCCATGTTCTTACAAATCATCATTTTAAGGCTAAGCCCCTTAGCTGTAATCTTTCAAGCTTATCAATTGCTATATTTTATCCAGCATACTCATATCTTTATATGCGGTGTACGTCTGGGCAGTATTTAAAGTGCTTTGGGAGAAGGAGATATTACTTTCCTTGAATAACACTAGATTTGGCTTGAATTTTATTTCATGACTCATCTTAACAGCTATAACTTTGTTAGTTGACAGTTTTATATGCCTAACTTTAAAACTGCAAAATATGTAAAGTCTGTATTTTCTAAAGCCAACCCTTAGAAAAACACAAACAAAGCAATATTTAGAAATAGGGTAACCCTATCTAGAACCAGAATGCTGCAGTCAGTAAGACTGCAGCCTAGTAACCCAGCAGGACAGCTCCAGAGCTGTTGTCTTCATTCACGGGAGAACGAAGATTGATACTCTTGCTTATGTGGGAAACGTGTGTTGTTGGTCCCTGCTTGCTCTTTTCCTCTGCCTATTCTAATTTATTCCATTGTTGTCGTCGCTGACTCTTTTTATGTTTGTTCTGGGAAATCAGAGTAGGAAAAAAATGGATATTTTAAACAAACACTGCTGGGAAAAACTAAAGCTTTTTTTTAAGTACAATTCTATCTATATACATAGGTATTTCCTAAAATATTTGCCATATATTTATATTTTTCTCCATATATTTATATTTTTTACTAAAAGAATCATTTCTGAAAAAACAAATAGTTTTGTTTATCTTTATATTCCCTTTGTTCCCTATTATGTACCTAATTGGATCACCTCATGAATCCAGGCTTCCCCAATGGCCTGGTCTAGCTGTCCAGTTTTCATTTCCTGTTGCCGTGATAAGACAGCCAGGCAATGCCAGCTGAGTGGAGAAGGGCTTCCTCTTAGCTCGCAGCTCCATCTTACCCACCAGAGCAGTAAAGTAGTCAGAGGGGAGGGGCCACATCGGCATCAAGGGCAGAGACCATGAATGCTTGTGTGTCGTGCTCAGCCTCCCAGGACCCATAAACAGACACCGGCACCACCAGCTTCAGCCAGTGTCTTTCCACATAAACTATGCTGTCAAGACGATCCCCCACAGACATGACACAGACAACCTATTCTAGATAACTCCTTATTGATACTGCCTTCTAGGATTTTAATTTGCCTGTGTCCTCTTAGTCGGGCAAATCCCTATTTAATATGTGTGCCAGCAAAAGGAAGCCACAAATATCTGCTTCCCATCCCCCACCAAGAATATCTCATGTTATTATTATTTCCATACACAGTTTCAAAGCATAGTCTTCCTTACTGATGATCGATTTTAAACTAGACATTAATAGATTCATTCCTTTGTTTTTCTTTGTTTCCATTAGGTTGTTTTTACATTGTTATTGATTTTGTAATGAATATAATTACACCTAAATCTGTACTCATTGAGTACCTTAGCTTAAATCCTGAAAGTAGAATTTCTAGGCTAAATATTATGGTTTCAAAAACTATTTGTTGCATGTTGCCAAGTTTCCCTTCAGAAACCTGTCAGTGGGCCAGGCACAGAGCATGCACACCTGTGGTCCCAGCACTTGGGAGGCAGAGGCGGGAGGAGTGCCCACAGGTTCAAGGCCAGCTTGGTGTAAATACTGAGCGCCAGGTCAAGCCAGGGCTACAGAGCAAGACTTTGCTCAAAAGCAAAGAAACAAAGCTAAAAACCAAACAACCGAATAGTAGGAAACGAAGTGAGCGACACTGGCGCCCACCAGCATTGAAATTTATCACACAGTGACTGTTCTAGAAGGCGGAGCTCAAAGTCAGTGTTCCCAAGCAAAGCGTCTGTTTGATGGCTTTAGTTTTCGTTGTTATCTAGTGAGGGACGGACAGGGAGCCTCCCCAACCTCCTCCTCCAGGTACATCAGTGGCTGCAGCTGCTCAGAAACATAGCCCTGCAGATGCTCACAGTCACACTAAAGTGGAAGTGTGTCTCTGTAACCACGGTGACCTCACAGTACTGATCTGTTCATCTACAGACTGCTTCCACAGGTTCATTACCATTTTTCTTGATTTTGGTTGTGGCCTTTATACCATCCCGCTGTGGAAACTGAGATGAGAGATCGTGAGAAGCAATGGGAAGTATTGTGTGTGTAACTTGCCTTCTTGTGCAGTAGAGTAAGGTGTGCATGCCCACTGCACGGGCCTATGGAACTATGCATAGTGCTGTTTATACGGCTATTAAAAAATAAGTTTTTATTTTAGAGCCTTTCTCTCAACAGAACTCTGGCCTTCTGAGGTTATTCTTTTCTAATAGGAGCATGCTCCAAAACTCAGATGTTGCTGGGCATGGTGGCACAGGCCTATAATCCCAGCACTCAGGAGGCAGAAGTAGATGGATCTCTGTGAGTTCAAGGACAGCCTGGCCTACAAAGCGAGTTCTAGGACGACCAGGGCTGTTACAAAGAGCAACGGCTCCGGGTTGGGGCGTGGGGGAAGACTTCATATGCTAAACCTGTGTGTGTGTGTGTGTGTGTGTGTGTGTGTGTGTGTGTGTGTGTGTAAAACCTCAAATCCATGGCATAAGAGCTTCTGGAAAGAAAGGTGTTTCATAGATGCAGCTCTTCCGCTCCTCTGCGTCACAGTGCTCTGTATAGGAAACGTTCCTGAGTGATGGCAGTGGCGTGACCGCTGTGAGGAGGAGAGCGGAATCCTTGTTGCTCTTGCCCTGAGACTAACACTCCTCCCAGAGCCTTCCTTGTGGTCTCTCACTCTTTAAATAAAGACACTAAGTTGCAGAAAATTGAAAAGGTTCCTCCAAGGTTACATGGTTGTCGCCAAAGCTCAAACCCTGGTGTCCTGCCTGGGTCAGCGCTGTAACTCTCTCAACAGTTGACTGTAATCAAACCATTTAGACACTGTAATCCCTTGGCGTTCTTCAGTCCTGGTATAGATCTCATTCTCATCAATGATGCTGATACCTCTAGTACATCTTGAAGGGCTTTAACCTCTCCATATTCCCTAATGTCGTAATTTCCATTGATCAGCTTCTTCCCTGACAGATTATTTAAAATGAATATTCCTGTTCTGTAGTTGATAATCCTGGGGCTCAGAGTAGCCCTAATTGTTCATCAAAATGTGTCAGAGAGGTAGCAGAACTGGGACTCAACGGGATTACTGCCTTCCATGTTGACTCGATTCTCTCCTTTTTACTAAAGTATAACAATCCCACAAATGTGAAAACTGTTAGTGTGTGGTGTTATAAAAATGCAAACACTGACTTTCCTCTCTGCCTTGTTTCTCATTAAATTTAATATGAAGAATAAAATAGTTCAATGTAGTTTTACATTTTCACACTGGCCTTTTTCGTTTGCATTTGTGGAGAAAATGTGCAGATTTTTTTTCTTGACTTTTCATTCCATTCATTTCTTACTCATGTGCTGAACAGTCCCACCATCAGGACCAAAGTCAAGCACAAACTGTGACTCTCTAACACGAGCTCAAAACGATGGCATCGAAATAAATTTCCCAGTCCCTGGAAAACGGGCTGCTTCCTCTACATAGTCCCAGATTTATGGGGAGCAGCTGGGGAACCTGTTTGCTGATGCTCATCCCCACCCCACCTCCTACAACTCCTCAGTATCTGGGAAAATACCGAATCTTGTCCTCAGTTTACTCCCCTTGAAGCACTGGTTTTGCAATGAGTCCATAGTCCACTTCTATATTCCAGTGATTCGTTAATTGCTTTCTGACTTTGTCTAAAACTATGAGGGAAGTCTTTATTTTTGAAAATTTGGATTACACCAATAATTACAAAATTAAGTAAAGTGAAACAGCTTTTTTAAAACATAAAACTAATGAAAATATCTAGCCCTCTTAGAATATCTGACCAATATTAAATAAGCTACTTACACTCAAAGCGCCCGTGGCCTTTGCCACAGCCCGCTCTGAAAGCCCCTGAGTTTCCGTGTTTGTTTTCCTCCGAGACCGGACCCAGCGCCTCCAGAGTGGAAACCAAACTGAGAGTCTGACTTGGTGCATTGTTGCCATATGTGCTAGAGTTGTCTGGATAGTGCATAGACTATGCTACTGGAAAACCTGTAAATCCTAGAAATCCATTCCAGAGATGATACAGTTAGATCCTTGTGTTCCGGATGTTTCATCTAAAACGCCTCTTCTGTCTTTTCCTTTTCCACTCTCGTCTTCGTTGGTAATGATGCCCCGGCTGACAGTGTCTTTACATCCAAAATGCAAAGCAGACAGATGGGCGTGTCAGGGAAGAGCATGACCAAGAGCAGCAGCATCAGTGGAGACATGTGCTCACTGGAGAAGAATGACGGCAGCCAGTCGGACACCGCCGTGGGCACCTTGGGGACCAGTGGCAAGAAGCGACGCTCTAGCATTGGGGCCAAAATGGTAGCTATTGTTGGTCTCTCCCGGAAAAGCCGCAGTGCGTCTCAACTCAGCCAAACCGGTAGGAATTTTTATGTTACTCTTGACTTCGTGTTTGAGTTGTCCTTACAACACACATTCTTTTTGTGTCATTTTTACAGTAATTGTGGGTGATGACATCACCCAGAGCAAAAGGGGAGTCTTAAGCTAGTTCATCTTTTTGAGAAGTAACCACAATGCTTTTTTGCAGCGATCAAACAGCCTGTTTCAAAGTGAATATTGGTGGATTTGAAAGTGTGTGTCTTTGCTCCTTCAGGGGCGAAGCTTTGGCGGCTGCTGCCAGGTGCTGGCCCTTTGCGAGACCGCTTTGATCAGCGGGACGTTTGCTCTCCCTTAGGTCCCTCACCGTGGAACTTGTTCCATTGCCAGCAGTTTGCAATGGAGATGAGGCCTCGTTTTTGTGTGTTTGTTGCAGACAGCCTAACTTTCTTTTCCTGTTTGTAAGCGCCATTAACAGTCCTATCAATTTCCTCGCCAAGGCTTCATTTCCTTGTTAAAACTTCAAGCACCAGTTCTTCAGCTGCTGGGACGGAAGGATTTTTCTGCTGACAGTGAAGATATTCAAGGCTTTTAATTACATCTGCAAAAATAAATTATATACAGCACTCCTACTCAGAAAAGCCACTGTTAGCAATTAAGAAATTTCTGAGTCAAAATATACCCCCTTTTTCAAATGGATGTTGCTAATTAAACCCTGGTATCTTGAAATAATAGCATATCTTCTATTTAAACAAAGGCATGTAATAACGGTTGTTCTTTTATAGTAAAATTAATTATAGGCAACTGGATTAAATTTAATTTCTGTTTGGATGGTAGGGTTTTTGTTTTGTTTTTCAGAAATTGGAGTGTATATCTACAACACAAAATAATTTAAGGTTGTATTAATTCTTGGACCCGGCTAATCTTGGTTTTGCAAGCCATACTTTGATTATGAAAACTGGGCCTTGTGTAATAGCGTCATATTGAAATAGTTATTTGATAATATTTTTTAAATTCTGGTTACTGCTTACTATATTGATGTAGGTTTTGTTATTATAATTTTTGTTTCGTGCTTTAAAGTGCTATTTCTCATTTTTATATAGAAATGTAATTTTAATTTGCAGATTCATAGGTTACCTTTAAATGATTTAAAAAACAGCTAATACTTATACATAACTAAATGTGTTGCCATAACAAATGTTGGGGTTTTGACTGAGAGGTGTTTTTGTACTTTCTAGCAAGTAAAACTTTTATTGCAAACATTTAAAACTTGCAAACATCTGTAAATCTGAAATTCCTCTAAAACTGTCCGTGTTTTAAGAAGAATTAGAAACTCACAACAGATAGTACAGGGAAGGGGTACAGAAAGGCAGAGCCTTGGCGGCTGCGCTGCCTTAAGACACACAGGCAGTCCAGTTGTTGTTACACCGCAGGGAAAGCGTGGCAACATGTTTTGGGCATTCCAAAGAGCCTTAAGAAAAACCACTAAGGAATGAAGAGAAGATGATATGGGCATTTGACTCAGAAGAAACAGTATACAGTGCATATACTTTTTGAAACATCACATTCAATTAGCATATGAACTTCTTATTCTTATGTATCAGTAAAAAAATATATTTACTTTTTATTTTAAAATGAGGAATAAGACTAAAACTCCGATAGTATCTAGTATTAACCTACATAATTAGTTACACTTGGTGAAATTTTTGGCAAACATTGAACACTTACTGTGTATCAGGTGTTTCCAGCACAAAGGCAAGCAAAACTCACTTATCTCAGGATGCTTAACACATAATCCGAGACAAACATTCCACGTGTGGCTTCCACAGCTGCCAGTGGTAGAAGTAGAGACACACGGAAGACGCACTGGGCCTGCAGAGGACGTTACCACCCATCTAGAGCTCCAGGAGTGAGTCCTGGAGAAGACTGCCCCTGGTCGGCAGTATTACCTCCTTGATTACAGTGACCACAAGCTAGGTTCCAGCAGAAACCACAGGGAACAAAGTCTAACAGTGGATATGTGGTAGAGTGATTAAAATGTGTAATTTGAACAGAAAGTACTGGCCTGACTGTCCGGAGATTTGGCTGATAGATAAGTCCGCATGAAACTCCTTTTGAGATGAAGGGTGTTGGGATAAAGTGGGAAGTTTTGAAGAGTACAGCTGGTCTCATGCACTGACCCCTGGGTAGACGAGGAAAGGAGGAGGTGGCCCAGCCCCGCCCTCGGGTTCCTTGTTTGCATCCATAAGTAGACTAACACCTATTGTGTGTAGAGCAGGAGTGTGTGGGGAAGCATCCAGAGAATGAGGGATTCAGAATACCTTGACTGTATCTGTGGAAATGCCCAAGTAGAGAGATCCAAAATATGTTCAACCCAACATGTACAAGTCTTGACATACACATGACAGTTCCGAAGTTTAGACACACTTACGGCTGAATTTGTCCAAGAAAAATATAGTGGATAAAAGAGCAGTAAACTGAGCCAGTGCTCGCTGGAAGATTGGGTTTTAGAGTTGGGTCCAGGAAGGAGGTTGCCTAGAGGAGGCAAAGGGGAATGGTTATGAAGAAATATAAAGAAGGCTGTCATGGGAGCTAGAAGCATAGAATTGAGAGGAGAATGGTCACTGCTCCTCCATGGCCAATGTCTTTCTGTACAGTTTTTGCAAAAGTATCCCATTGATACCTTCTACACAGCATTTCTACCACAAAATTATGGATCTTGTGAGCCCATACAGAGATTCTTTAACAATATTGGTTTCCACGTATAACTAATTATAGATTTTTTTTTATCTTCACAAACATTGTGATGTTGGTGAATCTAAAATTTTTAAATTCCCTTGCTATTATGTCGCCATTTCCCTAGGTATTAGAAGCATGGAACAGAAAATAAGAGATCTGTGTAGCTGAAAATAGACCTCTTTGTCATTGTCTTTATTAATGATTCAGAAGCTCTATATCATTACATTTTAATCGTTTTTAAAATTGGTAATTATTACTAACTACCAACTTAGTAGTTTTGACCTAGTAACAACAGAATTCTGACCATCTCTTTGTACAACTACAGACCAGTTGTTATATATAGCTCTGTGTGTCTGTGTGTGTATGTGTGTGCGTGTGTATAGAACAGGTCCCCTTTAAGTTGGCTTTTTTTCTAATACCCAGTTGAGTTCAGTTAGCGCCGTCCATGTGTTTGTGGGTGTGGTGCCATCCCCTGGAGCATGAGTAACCCACCAGTGGCAGGGAGGGGCTGTGCGGCTCATTTTCCAAGTATGGAGGAGGACAGTTGGTTATTTTAGCCCCAAGGGCTCGAATGCCGTTTTGCACGCAGACGTCATAGAAAGGACAACACAGAATCCATCCTCTCTGGTGCGGTTCCAAGGGACACTTCCTTGTAACTTTTTAGTCCAAGATAAGTGCTTTTTTATTGAAACTGTTATCCACCACCTTGTAAAGTTCTAATTATTCTGTGAATATTTGTTTAAGTTTACTACTTGACAGCCAATTTGATGAGTGCTCACTCAGGTCCTCTTTGTTTGGTACGAGTGCTCCATGAAGGAAATGAAGTAGGCGTCCATCACAGAGGACACACGCTAGTCTGCCCAGACTTGGATTTCAGTTCCTCCCAAGAACCTGCATTTGCTATGCATTTGCTCATATGTCTGCTATGAGAGGAAGAGGCGACAGATCACAGTTTAATCCAGATAGATATTCTGAGGCAAAATATTGGGAAAGTGGAGTCTAGCATGTGTTTCTTTAGCATTCAAGTTAGAAACTAATGTAATGGTGTATTTGGGGTGGTTTTGGTCCTAAGAGTGGCATTTTGGGTTTTTTTGTATTGTTCTGGTATATGCAAAATTCATTTCTTTTTATTGGCAGCTTTATAATTGCTTAGAGACATCAGAGTGTGGTACGAGTTCACAACACAGTGTGAGCCGCAGTGGGGAAACACTTGATGGGGAAATTGCCAGTGAATGACATGCAGTACCGAAGTGAGGTCATACAGAACGGTCCAGGAAGACAGGAACACCACAGATGACCCCAGGGGCTGCCCACAGGCGACACACTGAGACAGCTTTTTATATCAGCACCTCTCAGCCAAGCCCTCCTTTCCGAAGGAAACGTGGTGCTGAAGGTAGGGGACAAGGGCCACCCACCTGCTAATCTCCCCTGTGCTCTGCCTGGTACCGAAAGTGTCTCTCTTCCCTGTCCCCTCCTGTTTCCTTTCTAACTCCATGCAGTGGGTTCTCCCCTGGCACTAGGGCTTCCCTGTCACAGGAAGAAGGATGCTGGACTTGTGACTCTCCAGCAGACCCAGCACTCTTCACTGCAACACTCAGCTGGGAGATAGCTTATTGGAAACTCCAATCTGACAACATTTTACTTTAGTGTGTTAAATAGATTTAACACAAAGAAGGTGTAAGGTTTGTTCTCTGATACAATGCTTACGTGACTTATTTCACTTGGAAAATTTTCTTTGCAAATAAAGATAATGAAATTATTTTAAACAAATTAAAGAAACTGTGCCTCAAAAACAAAATTCTCAATTTCATGAGCAATGGAAAAGGTGCTGTTCTTTATAACTAAACACAAAGATGTACATCTAAGGATTCAGTCTGGCTTCCTTTCTTAGCTCACACTCTGACCTCGTGAAAAACAGTAGTGCCTAAATTATCTAAGCATTTCTCTTCTGGTTATCATAAGGAGCAATACAGAAACCTCTGATTGGGTACAGTCTAAGCCGCCATGACCACCACCATCTGCATCAACGCATCCCCAGTCTGTTGAGCACCAACTCCGGCCCAGCTTTAGATGGAAATGAGTGGGGGGCATATTTTCAGTCTCGGTTCTTCATGCTTTTGGACATATTTATATCCATAGCTATGAAGGATTAGCTTTTCCATAATGAAGAAAATATACATGATATACATAGTAGCTTTTCTTTTTGAAAAATGGAATTTAAGTAATTGAATATAAGTAATATTTTTCCACATGGTTTTGTAAATATTTCTGTTCTCTGCAGAAGTTTTGTTCATATTTGAACTT